CGCTGTGCCCAGGCCGGCCTCTAACCTGAAACAGGACCTTTACTTCCCTGTTTCTGGCTTCCAAACTGTTCTGCTGTGTCACAAAGCAGCCTGAGGATGGAATCTGCAATAAGGAAAGCATTTTGCATCCTGTAAGCGTATATGTACTATCTGGTCTTTTAAGTGTGGGGTTTCTTCTGTTTGTTTTACGTTTTGTTGTTTGTTTTGCTTTGTCCCTCCATTAAAAGAAGGCTGTTCGGGTTAGAATGTGTCCCCCATATTGGAAGCTTAATCCTCAATGTGACAGTGTTGAGAGGTGGCACCTTTAGGAGGTGATAAGGTCATGACCGTACTGCCTTCATCAATAGATGAATGATGTTATTATAGCAGCGGGACCCTTATAAAGGATGAATTCAGGACGGGCCTGGGAGCTCACACCTGTAATCCTACCACTCTGGGAGACTGAGGCAGGCGGATCGCTCCAGGTCAGGAGTTGGAGACCAGCCTGAGCAAGAGCAAGACTCCATCTCTACTAAAAATAGAAAGAAATTAATTGGCCAATTAATATATATAGAAAATATTAGCCGGGCATGGTAGTGCATCCTTGTAGTCCCAGCTACCCGGGAGGTTGAGGCAGAAGGATCGTTTGAGGTTGCTGTGAGCTAGGCTGACACCATGGCACTGTAGCCCAGGCGACAGAGTGAGAATCTGTCTCAAAAAAAAAAAAAAGGATGAACTCAGCCCCCTTCCCTCTCTCTTGCCCATGTGATCATGTGAACCCTTCAGCCATGTGATGACATAGCAAGAAGGCCCTCACCAGATGCCAGCACGTTAATCTTGGTCTTCCCAGCCTCCAGAACTATGAGAAATAAATTTATTTTCTTGATAAATTACCCAGTCTCAGGTATTGTGTTATAGCAGCACAGAATGAACTAAGACAAAGACTTATATCATTTTCATCAGAAAAAGACCATTCTTATACCTCTAGATGCAAATATAACACTTCATATATGTCCTACCCATGGACCTAATGCTAACATAGAACTGTTTTCCTCAGAGGAGCCCTAGTCCTGGGAGGGAGCATGTTGCATGGTGCCTCAACTTGAATCCCAGCTCTACCACTAACCAGCAACATGGCCTTGAGCAGAGCCTTGGATGTCTCTGCAGACCAAGGGTAACAAAAGCATCCACTTGATATAGTTGCCACAAGGATTTCCTGAGGTCGTAGGAGTCAGCCACCCAGGGCAGCACAGTGCCCACAGGAAAAATAAGCCCTCCATGAGCGTGGCTATGATCAGGAGGCTTCTAGAAACTCAACCACTGAGGGCAAGCACAGGCAGGCCCAGGAGATGGTGGGACTCACAGCCCAGGCAAAGGCTGGAAATGAACTTTGAGGGTTTAGGGAAGGCAGGTGCCAGTAAGGGGACAGATAAACTGTCCCCTTTAGGGACAGCTGCATTTTAGTATTCAGGATCTCTTTTAAACTTCAGGATCAAAAATAATAAAAACACATGGATAGCATTTCACCCCCATTTTGCTTTGCAGGCAGTGGGTACTAACACTCTCCCCTTTTCCCTAAGATGCTTTTCAGAACACTCTGTGCTATTGATTTCGAGCAGAAAATCCCAGCCATGGAAGCCTGTGGTGCCCAGAGCTTTTAAAATAAGTTACTCCTGGCTTTCCTAGGGAAATATTAAGTCTGTTCAAAGATCAGGCAATTGAACAGCAAGCTGATGAATAACCTTTGCCTCTCCATTTTTCTATTACCAACCTTGTACCTGTCATTTTCCCCCCTTCTCTAGTTTCAAAATGTCCTCTTGTGAACACACCCCATATTTATCGCTTGTCTCCATATATTTTTAGTTAATGTTTCATGAGAATATCTATTGGTGGATTTTGTGTTTCTGACTGCAGGTTTACCATCACGCTTTTGAGTCTATGGGTAAAGAGAAAAATAAGAGATAAGCAACGTGACTAGCGGAGGCGAGCAAGCAAAAACTTGAGAAGTCCCACTGGCTGTTTTTCACGTTCTGCTGACATTTGCAAAAAGCATAAGTTCTGATGACATGCAGCCTTGGGCCTGTTCTAATCAGAGGTTGTGCCTTCAAACAAGAGATCTGTAGCCTATAAGACTATTAACCAATACTGCTCCAAAAGTTTTTTAGAGATAATTGTTACATATACATACACCATATATGTCGTGTGTGATATATGTCTTATTAGGAACATGTTATGTGTCATAGAATATACAGTTAATAGGATTATATACGGATACTAACATCATTTCTTCAATACAGATGCAAGAAATATAGTAACAGTGTCATTGATTTTAGCTCACAAGTGGCAATCTAGGGGAACACATGATTTAAGATGCTATTTCGACAACTGGGAAGATTTGAATTATGGGCTAGGGTTATGGCATTGTAGTTATATAGGAGAGTGTCCTTGTCCTTAGGAGATAGATGGTGAGGTGTTTAGCAGGGAAGCGTCTGGATGTCCACAACTAATTCGCAAATGGCTCCAGGGTGGGCGAAAGCATTTGTCCAGAGAAAGAGACAGCAAAGGCCAGGCGCGGTGCCTCACGCCTGTAATCCTAGCACTCTGGGAGGCCGAGGCGGGTGGATTGCTCAAGGTCAGGAGTTCAAAACCAGCCTGAGCAAGAGTGAGACCCCCATCTCTACTATAAATGGAAAGAAATTAATTGGCCAACTAAAAATATATGCAAAAATTAGCCGGGCATGGTGGTGCATGCCTGTAGTCCCAGCTACTCGGGAGGCTGAGGCAGGAGGATGGCTTGAGCCCAGGAGTTTGAGGTTGCTGTGAGCTAGGCTGACGCCACGGCACTCTAGCCTGGGCAACAGAGTGAGACTCTGTCTCAAAAAAAAAAAAAAAAAAAGAGAGCACATATGGAAATGTCGGCAATTAGTGAATCCAGTCAAAAGGTGAATTGGTGTTCATTATACTATTCTTGCCACTTTTCTTTAGATTTGAAATATTTTTAAAAGATATAAAAAAGAGTTCTCTTTTTTTAATTTTTTCCCCCAGCATATTGTGGGGGTACAAATGTTAAGGTTACAAATATTGCCCTGGACCCCTTCCCCCCTCGAGTCAGAGCTTAAAGCGTAAAAAAAAGAGTTCTTATTATGATTATGCACAAAAGCCTACTTCCTCCCAGGAAAATAGAACCCATGTGTAAAAACACTGGAAATTTTCTCAAATCTTGATCAAAATGCATTGCCAAAATCAGAATATTTTTGTATAAAATCTTACAACTAAGAATAAAATGCTTCTCTTTATTCCAACCATGGAGTTGACACATATTTTATATTGGTGCATACCAAAGTCAAGTAATCTGTAATAAAGAAGAATAATATATACAAGACAACAAAGACACATAAAATGATAAATGCTTAGGATTGGTGGGAAGCTTTTAAGGAATTCTATAAGATTTCACATTTGTTCTCCAATGTAATAAGGCACTAGAATTTAGAGTTGAAAAGCATCAGGGAGAAATACAGTTTAACAGTTCAATCCTCAGTTTGTAGGTGATATAATGCCAGGTCACAGAAAATTCTACAAGTGTGGAAGTGTACAAGTGTTTAAAAGCTGTTAAGTGCTTTTAAAATTGATCTGGAACCCCTTCCTGCGAGTTATAATCAGCATTAGATCAATGTCCCCTAGAAATGTCCAGCTTATTTTATGGAACTCTTTCCAATAGAAATCAATTTCGTCTCCAAGTTTAAATCATGGCAGTTCCAAAAATTTTCAAGTATTTCCAATTGAATAAAAGTAAAGTTGAGTGTTTTCACAAGTTTTTCGAATGATTAACAAAATATATTTGGTAAGAAAAAGGATAATGAGAGATAAAAAGCAGACATGAGAACAACAAATTATGAAAAAGTTGAAAAATGACATTACTCACTAATCTTGCTTTGCCAAATAAAATCACAAATTATTGTGTATCTTCTTCCCACTTCTTCAACCTGCTTCTGAAGTGATACTTCCATTCATTCTTTAATGTATTCAAATATTTAAGTGCCTAATATGTACAAGACGTGAGAAGGACTTTAATAGCTATATTGCAATTTTTTAAACTATACAATATCGTCCTTTTGTGACGGTATTTTTTTCTGGATATGAAGAAAGTTATTTTTTCAAGCCTAAATACACAACTAAATTGAAATTAATCCTCCATATCTAAACTTTATGAAATGTGAACTGTGAGCAAATATCATAATTCCACATTGGAGGGAAAATATAATCTAAGGGGGAAAAAAAGTCCAAGCTTACTCTTGGGACTCTGAACCATTAAGCAACTGTTGAGGTGGCCCTTTATTGCATCTTGCCCTTAATTATGAGGTTCATGCAGTCTTAAGCTTGGGTTTCAAAAACCATTAATAATTACCCTTAAATGGCAAACAAAAGGAAAATGTCATAATCAGGGTGGTGTGTCTGTAAAGATTATAAAAGTCTCATGATCCTGCTCAGCTCTTTACGCTATTTGATCCTTCTAGCTGCTTCACTGCCGGGCCACCAGGTCAGTATGATTTTCGTACTACCTAGAGCTCCTCTACTTGAATTAACATAACACTCTGCTTGCTTTTAGAATAGTGTGAAAGAAAATGGTCTGGAAAAAAGGTGAGCTTATGGCATCTAAAGGTATTAGCTGTCACTTAGAAGCTAGAAGCTGTGGTCAGGTATTCTTCAACACTGTAGCTAAGGCTGGGGCAGAGTGGCTCATGCCTGTAATCCTAGCACTCTGGGAGGCCGAGGCGGGCAGATTGCTTGAGGTCAGGAGTTCAAAACCAGCCTGAGCAAGAGCGAGACCCCGTCTCTACTATAAATAAAAAAAGAAATTAACTGGCCAACTAATATATATAGAAAAAATTAGCCGGGCATGGTGGCGCATGCCTGTAGTCCCAGCTACTCGGGAGGCTGAGGCAGAAGGATCGCTTGAGCCCAGGAGTTTGAGGTTGCTGTCAGCTAGGCTGATGCAATGGCACTCACTCTAGCCTGGGCAACAAAGCGAGACTCTGTCTCAAAAAAATAAATAAATAAATAACATACTAAGACAATTTATTATACTGGCGCCACTTCCACCCTGAGTCTCTCCTCTCTTCCCCTCTCTTTTCCTTGTTCTCTCATATCTGTGCCAAGGAAATGGCCCAATAACCCTAAAATCCCCCTGACAACTCTCAGCATGAAACTCCACTTCCACTTTTTGGTAAGTTTATTTTCTTCCCAATTTACAGGACACCAGAATGAGTGCGAAAAAGTCCCCTGAAGAACTGAAGAGCATGTTTGAAAAATATGCAGCCAAAGAAGGTGATCCCGACCAGCTGTCAAAGGACGAGCTGAAGCTATTGGTTCAGGCCGAATTCCCCAGCTTGCTCAAAGTGAGTGCGCCTGCGCAGGGCCCAGAGTAACCAGACCTCTGGGTGGGAGGGGAGGGAGAGGAGGGCAGAGGCTCAGGGTGGGAATGGCTCCATGGGGGGCCATTGCTTGAGAGAGGACTCCTGAAGGAGGACTTTCTTCCACACAAGTCAGGCCACCTTTCAGAAGGCAAGCTCCCAGAAAGCAAGGGCCAGGCCTTCTAGCCCGACACCCCCTCCCCACCTCCCAGACTAGCCATAGTGAATGGAAGCGCTGGCCAGCTATGCCTGGAAGACCCACAAGTCACCATGCAAACCCACTAAAGCCCTTCAGCCTGGGTTGAGTATCTCTGTGCCAGGCTTTAGGAAAACAAAGAGGACTGCCCAATAATGTTAGCTGGCCTTGGACATACTTCATTTTTACATGTAAAAATCCCTAAACAAGACCAACACTTAAGGCCAGACATGGTGGGTCACGCCTGTAATCCTGGGAGGCCCAGGCGGGAAGATCGCTCAAGGGCGGGAAGATCGCTCAAGGTCAGGAGTTCGAAACCAACCTGAGCAAGAGTGAGACTCATGTCTCTATTAAAAATAGAAAGAAATTAATTGGCCAACTAAAAATATACAGAAAAAATTAGCCGGGCATGGTGGCACATGCCTGTAGTCCCAGCCACTTGGGAGGCTGAGGCAGGAGGATTGCTTGAGCCCAGGAGTTTGAGCTGTGAGCTAGGCTGATGCCACAACACTCTAGCCTGGGCAACAGAGTGAGACTCTGACTCAAAAAAAAAAAAAAAGAAAGGCCAACACTTACAGGGGCTCAATGGATGGAAAATCACTAAGAACAAACATCAGGAATAAGGGGTTTCTGGCTAAAATGCTTGATGGGATTCTTGCTGAAAGTAGGCCAGAGTAATAAAATATAGAGGGTGGTCAGGGGTGGAGGATTTGTGCTAAATTGACATAGCACGATTCCTGCTCAACCTGGATTCTACAAGGAGAAAGAGAGAAGCCCAAGGCTGGGCCTAGCTAAGCAGGGGGCTGCCCACAGGAGCCTGACTAAAGTTTTGGTCAAAGGAAAAGAGTCTTTGTCACTTTGCAACTAAAAACCATCTTCACAATATAAGCAACTGAAAACCTGTTACATCTGACTAAGTCACTGTTTAGCTCTAATTTCAGAAGAAAGCATTTGCCTCCAGTATCACTGTTTCATAAATTTTGACCAGAAATATCCTTTCTGCCACTATGGCAGGTGAAAACACTCTGTTTTTAATACTAGAAAGAAAAAAATCTGAATTTAATGACCTTATAATCTGATATTTCCTCATTTTTTTAGAGTAGAAATAGAACCTTTAAAAACTATTGAAGGTACTAGCAGAAAAAGGTACATTTTAGTTAAAAAGAAAAACAAAAGTTTAAGAAATTTTAAATTCTTAAAAAAACCCTTAAATTTTCCAAAGGGAAGAAAAATAATAATCTAAGGAAAACCTAGGAAATCTATTCAAACAAGTTGTTTTAAAAGGTAAGATTTGGTCAACTTTTCTATATTTTATGTATTTCCTACAAAAAGCACATAAGACTTTATAATTTGGAAAAAGGTAGGAAGATTAGCAGTAAGTTTTGAAATGGTAAGTTTTGAAAGTATACTTACAAAGTCATGTGATTAATGATAGTTCCACAAGGATTACTAAGATTTTCCAGCTATTCTCTATTTACATATCATCATTGCCTTGTATGGTGTAGAATCTAGTAAATGCATCAAGAAAATAGCACTTCATATTTATAAAACAGATGCTGAATAACTAACTTAAAGTTTGATCTTGTGATCATAGCAAAGTGTCAAGTGTCTTTGTAGAAATCTTACGGTTTAAAACACATGTTGCCAGAGAGATCTGTTGTACAACAATATGAATATACTTAGCACTACTGACCTGTACACTTAAAACTGATTAAGATGGTAAATTTAAAGTTATGTGCTTTTTACTACAATTTATACATATACAATCCAATTTGAAACTCACATAAACTAAATGGTTATTTCCATAGGTTTCCTAAGTACTATTTTGCTTCAGATAGACTCCTATCTGAAAGTCCAAGTGGTAATGGCTTTAAGATTTGAGTTTTATGGCAGAGAAAAAAATTAAGTATGCTTAAGACACAACAGAGATATCAGAAGTCAAAAAAACTGAAACATAATCTCATGCAACATCTCAAGCAATGGTTCTCCAAAGCATGGTCCTAGACCAGCAGCAATGGCACCACCTGGGAACCTGTTAAAAATACAGATTCCCAGGCCGCACCCCAGGCCCAGTGAATCAGAGACTCTGCGGGTGTAGCCAGCAATCTGTATTTACTAAGGTCAACAAGCCCATCTGGTGATTCTAATGCATGCTAAAGAGTGTGGTGGAAGCCACTGTTCCAAAGTCATTTTGCATAGCCTGGGATTTGGGAAAAACTGGAGTGGTAGCTAGTTAAGGGGTTTCGCTCTAGAGCCAATGTTTGAACCCCAAGCCCTCTGCTAACCAGCTGTGGGACCTGGAGCAAGTCACTGGCTATCTCTGAGCCTCAGTTTCCTCATCTGTAAAGTGGATCTCCCCTACAGGGGTGGCTGGAAGAATCACACAGGCTGTGCCACTAAAGGCCTTGGCACAGTGCTGGCCACCAGAGAGCACTCACTGACTACTGCCTTGAGTAATATGCTGGCCCGAGACCAGGAGCAAGAGATAAAACCAGCTCCCAGAAAAACCTTGGGGCAGGGGTCCTCAACTGTTTGTGGGCCGTGGGTCCCTCAGTAGCCCGGTGGAAGAATGTTTCTAGAGGCATAAAGAAAAGAACACAAGATCACATAAGAAACCAATTATATTATGCATTATATTAAAACAATAAGTGTGTGATATAGGAAAATAACAAGGTAACCAGTTCTGTGACATGAAGCAATAGTACAGCTGAAGCTGGTTTGTCCCCCTCTGTCAGTTGCACGTGACTGGACACTCAAGCTGCCTTCCTGCAGTGCATACTCAGGTCCTCTAATTGCAGAGACTGTGTAGCAATAGATGGTTCATTTTTTCTCCCCTCCCCTATCCCTTCCTTTTTGTCTAAACCCAGGGTCCAAACACCCTAGATGACCTATTTAAAGAACTGGACAAGAATGGAGATGGAGAAGTGAGTTTTGAAGAATTCCAACTGTTTGTAAAGAAGATATGCCAGTGAAGGGAAAAACGAAACAGGATTCCTACCCACCAAAGGAAGCCCGCCTGGGCCCCGCCCTAGCCCATGTGGCATCCCCAATGTCTCTGGTTTAATTCTTTGCAATTATAATGATCTGGCTGTGAGGTCCAATTATTGCTAATAAAGAAATTCTTAGACATGTCTCACCTTGTCAAGTGCTGACCTTCATAACTTAATAGAAGTGAAAGTAACCTTAATAAGATTCATTTAATTCTACAGATTTAAAAAGAGATGGGGTGGGGACAGGTGCGGTGGCTCATGCCTGTAATCCTAGCACTCCGGGAGGCTCAAGGTCAAGACCAGACTGAGCAAGAGTGAGACCCCGTTCTCTACTAAAACTAGAAAGAAATTAATTGGCCAACTAAAAGTATATAGAAAAAATTAGCCGGGCATGGTTGCACATGCCTGTAGCCCCAGCTACTCGGGAGGCTGAGGCAGGAGGATCACTTGAGCACAGGAGTTTGAGGTTGCTGTGAGCTAGACTGATGCCACAGCACTCTAGCTTGGGCAACACAGTGAGACTGTCTCAAAAAAAAAAGGGGCCAAGGCCAGGCCCAGTTCCTCATGCCAGTAATCCTAGCACTCTGGGAGGCCAAGGTGGGAGAATTGCTTGAGGTGAGGAGTTCAAGACCAGCCTGAGCAAGAGCAAGACCCTGTTTCTACAAAAAAAATTTTAAAAAGCAGGGCATGGTGGTGCGCATCTGTATTTCCAGCTATTCGGGAGACTGAGGCGGGAGGATCGCTTGAGCCCAGGAGTTTGAAGGTGCTGTGAGCTACGATCACGCCACTGCACTCTATCCAGGGAGAGTGAGACTGTCTCAAAACAAAAATGACAGAAAGACCCAGGGCCCTCCCAACTCTGGCATACAGAGCTACAGGCTCTCAGGCTCTGAGGAAACAGCCTTCAAGTTCCACTTGCCGAGTCCAGCTGGGGGGTGAGGAGGGTGGGGAGTACCGAAGAGGGAGCACAGAGGAGGCAGGGTTACTTTCTTCTACCCCTTACAACATAGAGTTGAAGTTCAAGATGGTCCAAGTTACCATGGGCTTGAGCTGGCCTACACAGCCAGCCACAGAAATGCCTGGCAGCTGGGTCTTCGTTTCCCCTCTATCCTCAATGCGACTCGCCTCCCCTCCAAAATGCACACACGCTAGGAGCACTGGGTCCCACTGCCACTAACATTCCCTCTCAACCTTTTTATTTTTATCATTATCACCCTCTTAAGGAGCCCTGTTAAATGTTTTTCTTCTGATCGCCCCCTCAATGAAATTTTAATTGCAAAGATGTACCATGTGCATCCTTTTATTTACTGTCTGTGTATCTGCGCTTCAGACATGGAGCAAAATCCCCCTCCCACCAAAAAAATAATTGTAACCTAATTGGGAGCAACATCACACACATGCCTTTGAACAATGTTGTTCAATCTTTTTTTTTTTTTTTTCTTTAGGAGACAGAATTTCACTCCGTTGCCCAGGCTGGAATGCAGTGGCACAATCACAGCTCACTGCAGCCTCCAACTCCTGGGCTCAAGGTATCCTCCTGCCTCAGCCTCCCAAATAGCTGGGAGTACAGGCCCATGCTACCACACCTGGCCCATCATTTTATTTTGACCTCATGCTCTAAGAGAGCATGAGATTCCTTTCTGTGATTGACATCAGAAAGCTATGAGATCATGTCCACGTTCAAAATGTAGAAAATGATAATACCGTTTTTTCAAACAACACAAGCCCTCTCAGTGATTATTCTGTATCACCTTACCACGAAGCTGAGAATCACTTCCTACAAAGCACTGCCTTTGACTCTATTTTTTTTTTTTTTCATTTTAACCTATTGAACGAGAAGGTGTCTGCTGGGTCTATCAATCAAGTTGGCTGCTGTCATTTCCCCAGCAGACTGATGGCTTTCCAAGGTGGGCCAAGGAGCCCATGCTCCCACCTAACCTGCCCATAAAGAGGGCAGGCAGCCGCCTGAGCGGAAGGAGGCCTGTCCACAGGCTGGACAAGGCCAGGTTCATCGCTGGCGAGTTTGATCTCTGAGACAGGGAAGTCTTGGTTGGTGTAAGTACAGGGTGATTCCAGGGAGGCCAAAATGAGCCAGGCACAAGATAAATAGGTAGTAGATAGTGACTGGGAGGGCAGGATGGTAGGAGGACATATATTCAAATTTGTTTGAATATAGGCTAAGAAAACATTTCTGCAGGTACACACTAGAAACTAACATCAGTGCTTCCATATTAGGAAAGGACTGGGCAGATTGGGGGCAGGGATGGGAGAGCCGCTTTTCATTGGAAACCTTATTGTACATTCTGATTTTTGAACCACATGATGTATGTCCTATCAAAAAGAATAAATGAAAATTTTCACTCAACAGAGTACACTTTTTAAATCCTGTGCTGCTGCTTTTTGTGATAAGCCTCTTGGCACTCTCTTACTTGGAGCAACAAGAAAAAAATACAACTATCTAAATGTTGGGAGAAGAGTATAATAAATTGGAGAGATTTGGCAGGAAAGCACATAATTATGGAAGTTTCCCCCAATAATAAAAATGAAATTCAGTCGAAGCCATTTCAAACATTTAGAAAATTAACCAGAGGAAAAGAAAAGTAACTACTGACCCTTCCACCAAGAAACAGAGGAGATTTTTATACACAGTTGAGGGCATGTTTAAATACAATTTGTATCATTCTAACTCAACACAAGAGCATTCTCATGGTGTCAAAACCCTTCAACATTTCTAAAGACTTATTATGTTCCACTGTAGATACCCCATAATAGTCTTAACTATTTCCCCATTGTGGGGCATTTAGGTTGTTTTCACTTCTGATTCTTCCCAATGTTATAATGAGTACTTGTTCATATTTCTGTCAACATTTCACATTTCTTTAGGAGAATTTCTGAGAAGTAAATGTCTGAGTCTGAAGGTATGGATATTTCCACGGGGTATGAAACGGACCACCCAGTTGCTTTTCTAGAAGTGTGTATGGTTCATCTCTACAAGCAGGCAGGCGAATGTAGGCTTCACTCCCCTGACAGCATTAGCTGGTCTCATTTTACCAATTTTATCAGTCACTATAGTGCATATCTTTTATTTGTCGCTGGTTTTATAATAATAGGAATCCTTTACTATTTCTCCATTAAGTTTACTGTTCACTCTAGGTTTGTAAAAGATATTCTTTCTCTTGTTTAAGAAGTACAAGGCTCTTCCTGGTTTGTTATAAGATTATAAGCACCAGGATTTATTTATTTATTTAGCGTACTATGGGGGTACTTGTGTTAAGGTTACACATATTGCCCATGCCCCCTCCCCACTCGAGTAAGAGCTTCAAACGTGTCCATCCCCCAAACGTTGCACATCTTACTCGTTTGGTTGTATATACCCATCCCCTGCTCCCCCCTCCCGACACCTGATAAATGTTACTCCTATATGTCCACTTAGGTGTTGATCCGTTAATACCAATTTGCTGGTGAGTACATGTGGTGCTTGTTTTTCCATTCTTGAGATACTTCACTTAGAATGGGTTCCAGCTCTATCCAGGATAATACAAGAGAGCACCAGGATTTAGATACTGAGCAGGGTTTCTCTCTTTTGTTCAATCAATATGATTTGTTAATTAATTCCTGGGATAAACACACTACCCAGTCATAATCAATTATTCTTTTTTTCCCTTTAAAAGAGCATCAATTATTCTTTAATGCTATTAAATTTAACATTCTAATTATTTTATTTAAGATTTCCACATCCTCATTCCTAACTAACATTAGTCTATAGTTTGGGTTTTTATTATTTGTAGTGCGTGCTTTGTTAAGTTTCTAATGTCTAAATGAAGCTAGCTTCCCATTTTAGCCTATGTTCTAGGTATCAATTAGCCCCTCTCAGACTAAATACACATTACCTATTTCAACTCCAACGTATAACAAAGTACCTATTATGGGCAAGGCATTATACAAGATAACATGAAAGCACAAATTTCTAGACTGCTGAGATTCTAAGTCAGTTAGTCTGGGATCAGGCCAGAGAAAGAATTAATTGAAAAAGTAGCATCTCAACTGGGATTTGTAGGAAGTACCTTGAAAAGAGCATGCCATGGGCATTTGGAGAGAAAAAATACCGCAAGTCAACGCATTGTGTCCAAGTGCAAGGCAATTAAGTAACCCACATACGCTATGTTTGGGCTGGAAGGCCAGCTATGAGGAATAAAGAGGGCACGGCGTCAGATCATGAAAGTTCCAAGTTGCCACGCTGAAGAGTCTGCCCAAGGTCAGAAAGAGAATAGGAAGGTGTAGGAGTCACAGAGTGATAATATTGTACTTTAAGAAGAAGAGTGGGCCAAGCGCGGTGGCTCACACCTGTAATTCTAGCACTCTGGGAGGCTGAAGCAGGCAGATTGCTCGAGGTCAGGAGTTCAAAACCAGCCTGAGCAAGAGAGAGACCCCATCTCTACTATAAATAGATATATTTTTTTGTTTTTTGAGACAGAGTCTCGCTTTGTTGCCCAGGCTAGAGTGAGTGCCATGGCATCAGCCTAGCTCACAGCAACCTCAAACTCCTGGGCTCAAGCGATCCTCCTGCCTCAGCCTCCCAAGTAGCTGGGAGTACAGGCATGCGCCACCATGCCCGGCTAATTTTTTTCTATATATATTAGTTGGCCAATTAATTTCTTTCTATTTATAGTACAGACGGGGTCTCGCTCTTGCTCAGGCTGATTTCGAACTCCTGACCTCGAGTGATCCGCCAGCCCCGGCCTCCCAGAGTGCTAGGATTACAAGCGTGAGCCACCGTGCCCGGCCAACAGAAAGTTATCAATTGGCCAACTAATATATATAGAACAAACTAGCTGGGCATGGTGGTGCATGCCTGTAGTCCCAGCTACTCGGCAAACTGAGGCAGTAGGATCGCTTGAGCCCAGGAGTTTGAGGTTGCTGTGAGCTAGGCTGAGGCCATAGCACTCACTCTAGCCTGGGCAACAAAGTAAGACTCTGTCTCAAAAAAAAGAAAAAGAAGAAGAAGAGTGGACAGCAAAGAAGCGTCTGCAAGGGTACAAGGAACACAGCAAAACAGCCGGAACAGCAGCAACGCACAGGAAGCGTGTTGGGAAGACACCTTCTCTGACTGCTGACATTTATTGACATCGACAATTGATCATTTCAAGTTAAACCCTCAAGAAGGGTGAAAATAAGTAGAGCATGGGATGTGTACGTGTGTGTGTCCCTTTGCTTGGCCTTCTTGATCTTATTTCCAACATTGATCTGACCTCCCACATCTAACAA